CAACCATGGGAGTACAATGCAGTTGTGTGGTAGATTTTGTCAAGTCGTTATTGCTGTGGCTCACGCTCGTCCTGGGTGGGGATGGTGCTGAAATGAGTGCCATTTAATTTAACTGAGGTGGCGGGCAGTGGTTCTGGGTGCATTTTAACAGATACCCTTTCCTGTCTGTGCCAGTCTCGGCCCTGGGGCTGAGTTGGCCTGTCAGATACACGAAGCCCTAGACCTCCCTTACTGTTTCCCAGGTCTTTTCCTTCAGAAGACAGCGGCTTCTTAAAGCTTATTCCTACGTGAGGTTGGTTTCCCCCTGTCTGGGTCAAAGGTTACATGGCCAGGATGCTGCTACAGGGAGTGCCTTTCACACTTTTCCTTTATTGTGAGGTTGCTGTCAGCTGAATACTCTGAGATTTACATTGCTGGTTGTTGTTACTATGTACGTGTGTGTGTGTGTGTGTGTGTGTGTGCATGTATGCATGTGTGTACACATGAACATGTATTCCCATGGAAGCCAGAGGACAAACCCTTGGAGGTTGTTCCTCAAGCACTATCTCCTTGCTTTTTGTTTTTTGTTTTTTGGAGACAGGATTTGTCACTGACCTGGCCATTTTTCGCATCTGCTAGGCTGGCTCGCTGCTTCTCAAGCCCTACAGGCCTACTGGTCTCTACCTCCCCAGGGCTGTAGCATAAACAAATGGTCTTGTTACAAGTTTGAAAAGCTTTTCTGTGCTGCGCTTCATTGGTTTCCTATTTTACTCTTGATTCTTTGGGCCCATACCTGCTTCTCAGTGAGTCAGTATCTCTTTGCGCTGGTTAAGTCTGTTAGAGATCGCTCCAGAAAGGGTTCACGTTCAGGACCTTTGTCTTTCTGCAATGCCCTCATAGCATTTGTCCTTCTGAGAGCCAGTCTGGATGGGAGTCAGATTCTTAATTCGCCATAATCCCTGCTCTGAACTTTCAAGTTATTGTCCTGTTATTTTTTAGCGTCAAGTACTTTTTAGCAGGTGTATCAAGTTGTTGCTGGCCAGCTACGAACTGCTTAGTGTTTCTCATAGCATTTGGCATTTTCTCTTGATCCTTGGTCTTTTTATAATGCATGTCAAAGATTAGCCCTCTCCTTTCAAACAACTGATGAGCTTTTTGAAGCTGTTTGCTTCTTCTTCCCTGGAAAATTTCCTTTCTGTTTCTAAATGACTTTTATTTTCCTTTCCACTCCTAAAATTTTGGTTTTTATTTACAAAATTTTAATTAAATGGATATTTGTGGTCTTTTTTGTTTTGAAATTAAACATTTTGGGGACTGGAGAGATGGCTCTCAGCGATTAAAAGGCAGTTACTGTTCTTGTTTTATTTTTATTTTATTTTTTTTGAGACAGGGTTTCTCTGTAGCTTTGGAGTCTGTCCTGAACTCCCTCTGTAGACCAGGCTGGCCCTGAACTCAGAGAGATCCACCTGCCTCTGCCTCCCAAGTGCTGGGATTAAAGGTGAGCACCACCACCACCATCCTGCTAACTTGCTTCCTTTATAGAGGACCTGGTTGCATTTCCTAGAATCCATTTGTGTGTTCTGTGTGCGTTCAGTGTAATTTGGCTTCCACCAACGCCATGCATGCCAGTGGTATGCAGACATACATTTAGGAAAAACACCCATTATTTTTTTTTTTTTAGATTGCATAATGCTTTATTAAC